AACCTGTCGATTTCCACCATCTTGATGCCGTGCGGACCGGTTAAAAGCGGGGAGTTTTCGATCAAGTGTGCAGTTCTCCCCGTATCTCTTCAGTCCCTTTCACTTGGTCAACTTACGCCTGAGCCTAGTTTCGTCGGCTGTATTGCGAGTCAGCTTCTCAGTTTCATGAATAATGTCGCCCCTTCTAAGCTTGCATACTTGATGATCCCAGTTCATCTATGCGGCTTTCTCAATTGAAGGAAATGTGTCCCATTGTCCTAATCAACACTGCCCTTCAAGGCGTGCATTTCCATGGTGAAGTAATCCGAGTTTCTACCAAGGATCGAAACACTCAAGGAAGGTCGCACCATAGCTGGTTTGTGGTTTACCACCTTGAACGACGTAAGCTGCAAACATGGAAGTCTGTTGCTTTGTGCCCACCGCATTTCCCTTGTCATTTGCTAGGACTAACTGTGGAGCACAATGTTGTTGCGTCCATGCGAATAGGCGGAAGCGACGGCGTTGGTCTTGGTCACTTCTAAGACGAACATAACCTGCGTCGAGAATTGAACTTATGATATCGTAGTTACCGGTTGTGCCACTGAACGAATAAACTCTGAAGGGTAGGCGTTCAGTGTTATTCTTCAGCTTGCATTGCTCGCTGTGTGCCTACATTGCGTTGCACAGTGTGTTATGCGTTTCTGACGCACCATGCCAAAACTCACTTCATGTGATGAAGATGCATTTGACTTACTTCACCAGGAACCACATTGCTCACTTAGGATGACGAGAAATCTGTCACAGCCAGCTTTGGTGTCCATTCCATTTCACTCTGTAAATGAGGAAATGTGTGACAGGCGTTTTCAGAGATGTGTCCTAACGACCTGCATTCAGTCACTCGGCAACAGGTTGCTGTGTACAGCTTTCTTATTCACGCTTCACCATTTCCCTTCACCATTTACTTTGACCGTTCTTTCTGGATACGGTGAATGAGGAATTGCAACCCTATTGTACACTGTATCACTACCGAATCCCTGGCGTCAACTACCATCTTCGCGTGATTTGCCTGTTTGGCTCCATTGCCGATTAGCGTACGTGAAGGGCTGCTGATTGGGCAGCTTGGCTCCTTAACTAAACTGGTAAGCATATCTATCTGGGTCAGTAATCACAATGAGCCACCGAACATCAAACGCCAGGATAAATGATAGGAGTTAGACGACACTGTGGATAACCCAACTCGATGTTTGACCAGCATCGAAACTGATTCCTCGCTCACTTCATACTCATTGGCTGCGAAACTTGAAAACGCAGGGTTCAGCGAGCTGGTCTGAAAACCATGAATACCCCGGTTTTGGTGTGCAGTCTGACTGTCTGTTCTTGGACTAAAGCGTGCGTTAATAAGAAGGAACAGTATTCATATTGCTCCGTACGCCCATGCTCACACACTCTGCTTTAGCCCACCCCCTGTTTTTTATGTCTGTCCTACCGGTATCTCCGCGGAATACTGAGATCAAACTTACCATACTATAGTAATTTCTTTCTTTACTGCACTACTCTATGATCGCTCATTTGACCGGAATGCGCTATGAGAGTCCCCTTGGCCCGATTAATCTCATATCGTAGCAGCTTACGTTTGTTGATTTGCTCCCGCCCATTATTTGTTTTCCCTTCGATAGCTGATGTCAACGACCTTCCGTTACTACTTTCGCTCGTCGTTTCTCGCTTGCTGCTGTCTAATCGTCTCCCGGATCATGTTTTTACCGTCGGGCGATAACGAACACCTTTCTTGGTCATGTGGAGCACGCGGGTTGCTTCTCCAACTGGAGAACAAAGGTGTACGTTTCCCGAGTGTCGTGAGCAGTTGTCGGTAACCGCAGGAACTTCCACAACCCTTGCGAACTACGTGTTGAATGCTGACAGCTAGGCTTGAGGACAGACATGGGTCTTTATTCACGAACAGCTGCTTAGTGTTCTATTTCCCCTAACACGGGTTAACTACCGGTGTTTATCTCCTCGGGGGCCTTGCGTTTGGACTCACGAAAGCGGTTTCGGCAGCGTATTTCTATCCTCCTATAAATTATTTAGTTTCTGGCTCGCTGCTACCCCCTTACTTTCCCCAGATGCCCGGTGCTGGGGTTATTGCTTATATCGAGCCTTTTTGCTTCAGTTGGGCTGGACCGATCCAACTGGACGCAGTTTATCAGTATTTTAACTCTCTGTCACGCATGCATTGGCGGACTTACTATCTATTGTTGCGGGTACGCATCTGTTTGTCGCCTGTTCTGTTTTGCTATTCTCCTTTTTTTTATCCCTAGATGACTACCTACTTCATGGTTAACCAGCCACAGAGTGGGTATTGAAACGTATCCTTAAGGGAATTCGGTTAACATGAATATGTGTAAATAACGCAATTCATAACCCTAGATGTTGGAACTTATGTTAACAGCGTCTGTTAGTACACTCGCGTCTTGGGGAGCTAGTCTCGCGTTCCCTCTTCCTGAGATTTGTGCTACTGCCTCCGCACCAATCACGACACCCGCGTCAGACATGCTTCGCAACCTCTACGCTAGTACAATTTGACGTGCTGAAAAGTGGGTCTGCGGTCGGACGACATCCTGGCCTAGCACACTTATGCCCTGACACTGCAATGGACCGAACCGATGTTTGACAAGCGGCGTTTTGTGCGGGCACTGGGAGGAAAAGTTGCACATCTGTGCTAGGAGTAACCGATGCCGTTCGTCATTTGGTGATGGAGCGAGTCATACTTCGAACGCCCTTCCATCTACCAAGTGTCATTCTTGGACATTTAACGGGTAAATCGGTGTTTTTAGTGGCGCGCAAATTTTCTTGGCTAACCTAGCGCCGTGTTCTGTACTGCTCCATAGTTTGCATGAGTGCTAATCTAGTCTTATTCGTGTTATGCTCCACATTTCGTGAAAAACATGGCGCACGAGTATCCATTACGTTACTCAAATTTACCCATGTTCTGGTTTTGTTTTTTGGGCTTTGCTCATCATAACGTGCTGGCAACATTTGCCTTATGTCACGGTTAAAGTGAATCAGGGTTATAAGTGGGTGAGTCTGCGGCTTCTTAGTTGCGGGATCAGAACAGTGGTTTCATTGATGCAAAGAGTGCGCGAGTTCTGTACAGTCGGATGGCAAGAAATCAACTGTCCTTTCACGGTTGTAATTCCTCAAGATTTTTGAGCACCGCATCCATTTTACCGGTTACGCTCCTCAAGATAAATATGTGATTTTGTTCAGAAAGTGCCTGTTGTCCATTGTGGACAAAGCATGGTTGGGGGTTTTAATTTTGGTTGCTTTCGACGCAGTCGTGTGTGTGTTCTACCTAGGAACATCAAGCAGATTCATGCTAGTGTCAACTGCCCTAAGAGATTTAGGTGAACATACTTGCAATATTAGTCGAAACCAGATACTGAAGCAATCTCAACGCTAAATCAGATTTAATGGCTGGGTGAGCGTTACCAAAGTCCTTGAAAAATATCACAGCAATTGCGTCGTACAGCTTTTTATTTAACCCACACTACTCTGGAGAGATCATATCAAACAAGCAAAGAAGCCCGTTGTTCTGTGTAAGGATACTCATTACGCGTCAACCAATTACTCTGTTTTGCCAGCTTATTCTAAGATGCTCGAATTGACCAGGTTATTTCTCCAGAGCAAATTGTTTCCCTTACATTATTGAATTTGTAATCCGATGCGCTTGCAAGGAGTGCCATGTTCCATCCATTACCAAGTTACTGAGAGACACGTCAACCGCACTCCTCCGTTGTCATTCTGCATCTGATTCCTTGAGCCTTCCCCACTATCAGCTGATAGCTGGACTCAAACTTCGAATTGTCGCAATCTTCTCTGTGCAACCATTTTGGCAGCTCGCATGCTCGTAGCGATTTGATTGTGTTTACACCAAATCGTCAATGCATCTATTCTCCCCCATCGGTTATAATTTTCCGCCGCTATATTTTTATGAATTCTTTGTGCGCTCACTAATATTTATTTCCTGATGCTCTGGATTAAGCAAAGTATCTCGTTGATGTTATTTTTAGTAAGCATTTTGACCTGTGCTACGATTTTTCATCTAAGATTCTAAACAACCACTCTCACCCCATACACATTGTTCTAACCAGTACAGTATCTATTTCTTCTAGGCGGTAGAACTTTAAAGTTACCTTTTTTCGTACCGCGTCATATCGCAACTCCATCTTGCCTTGTCTGTCTCGTTTGTTATTCGATCGTTTACTCGATTGAAAATGAACTCTTTTTGTATTCCTCGTCACTTGGTATTTTATCCACTGATACTGTGTTGTAGTATAACCGCAGCGGTAGTGTAAATTTTTGAACAAGCTCCCACACGGCTGTTTAAGGCTTTTCTTGACTTACTAATTACTTTCTGTGATCTGTACGGACACGTCTCCCCGAGACTCCTGAATACGCTCACACACGCACACACTTCTTTATGTCCGTCCGATCGATGATGTGTTGCCCTCATCATTGTGTTTATCATGCACTTGAATTTATCACCTTGACTTTGGCTCCTTTTTACCATATTACTACCTCCATTCGCAAGGTTCAACTGGGAAGCGTCATCGCGAACCTACCCGGCGGTCTTGACTCTACAATTGTCGAGGGTGGCTTGAATTTCAGTACCGGTCAACGTCAACTGTTGGCTCTGGCACGTGCCATTCTCGGAGGTAACCAAATCTTGGTGGTGGACGAGGCGACCGCTAACGTCGACCCAGAGTGAGTGTCTTTACTGTCAAACTGCTGGATTCTGTAGGAAAGTTTGCTAGCAAACTACAACTTGATTATTCCAGCTTCTTGTTATATGGCTCAGTTCATTGTTCAATTTTTGAACCGAAACTTCTCTGCTTTTTATCCATCCTACTACCCTAACATGCACCGTGCAACAACCACCTTATGATCAAACACAGGGTGTTTTATTAATTATGTCCGAAGCCAGGAGCGGCTGCGCTCATGCGTTGACGTACTCCGGCACGTTGAAATGCCAACTGTCCAAAGGCCCAACTTTCTTTGCCGAACGTGTGTCCGCAGGGGCGAGAAGGGGCACATAGGCGGGACATGTGTGTCTACGATCGCAGGGCACACCGAGAAGTTCAGCTGTGAGAAGTGAACCTTGGCTAAACTCCACAGCCGCAATCGACGTGTCATGCTTCGATCACATGGCAAGGCCAACGGAGGCCAGGCCGTCGGGTGTGAGAAGTAAACGTTAGGCAAACACCACAGCCACAATCAACGTGTCATGCTTCAATCGCAGAACATGACCAACGGAAGTCGGGCCGTTTGGCTGTACGAAGTGAACGTTAGTCAATCACCACAGCCGCAATCGATGTGTCATGCTTCAGTCGATTGGTAGTCGGCTTTCACGTAGGCGAAAATGCCAGCAAAGGGGATCTCTGCGAGGTGGTTAGTGGCTCGCTATGCTAGCAATTGAGAACAGCCTGTCCGTATGTGATGACCGATCGATGGGCACCGCATTGCTATCGCAATACACGGGAAAAGACAATCGCCACTATAACTGTTGTCGCCTTATGGCTGGCTTCCAACAAACATGTAAGCTGTTTCTAGGCTGCTTTCACTGCTAAGGGGAATCACATTGGCAGGACCATATTCTAAGGTTACAGTCTTGTTCCTTTTACCGTTTCGATCGGCCATTGAAGAATAAGCGTAAGAAAGTTGAAGAAATGGCATTTATTCCTCCGGAAGCTTTTCCTTTGTATTTAGCCATCCCTTCAAAATCATCTCACGCAACGTCACTCACGTCGCGTCTGACTCCGTATGACGCTTTATCCCTTTCAGGCGATTTTCCGTTACGGCACGATGTTGTACGAAATTGACGGCCTCGAGTTCTTCCTGTTGGTGTTCGACTATCGAAACATGTACATTCGACAAAACGTCCGCGATGAACATTTGCGTCCCTGGAGTGTATAACAGGTCTATGTCATCTTTTTAGAGCCGGATATGCATCCGATAAAAACGTCGAGGGACACCGTGTAACGGTTTACTAGCTATTGACACGAGTGGTTTCTGGTCCGTATACACTGTAATCTTCCTTCCAAATGTGTAGTCGTTGAATCGCTCCATTGCGTAGACGACGGCAAGCATCTCCTTTTCGATCTGCGCATAACGCTGTTCCGCCACTGTGAGCGCCCGAGTGCGGAAGTCCAAGGGTTTACCATCCTACAGGAGAACGGAACCTATTCCGCTTTGGCTGCTGTCACACTGCACCTCTAATGGTAGAGCTGGATCATAGTAATCAAGTATTGGTGCACAGCTAATAAGACGCTTGATGGTTGTAAAAGCTACATCTAACTTTTCTGCCCAGTTCCATTTTACACCTTTGTGAGTCAGTCTCCGGATGGGCGTCATGATTTCAACAAGTCTTAGCAAGAATCGGCTCAAATAATTCACCATGCCATTTAATCGACTTACAGTCTTGACGTCCTTAGGTTCTGGCATCTTCTGCGCTGCGTTGTATTTTCTGGGATCGATCTTTATTCCCTCGGATGTCAGAACGTGCCCGTGAAAAATCACTTCCGGTTTTCTTAGCTCAATTTTCTCGCGTTTGAGCTTTATGTTCTTTTGCACGCATCACTGCAAAAAGTGGTGCAGATTGGCGTCATGTTCTCGTTCGGTTGAACCGTAACTCAGTGCATCGTCTGCTACACAAGTTACAACTTCTAGGTCGTCAACAGCTTGAAGTAACCGCTTTTGACAAATTTCGCTCGAAACCTTTAAACCAAACGGTAAACGTAGCCAGCGAAAACGCCCGAAGGGTGTGGCAAACGTCGTCAGAAAACTGGATTCCTCATCTTGAACCACGTGCAGAACGCCGATGAGAAACCAACATAAAGTACTTTGCTTTAGCCAAACGCAGCAGGACATCTTCTAACGTCGGCAATGTATAGTGTTCTCTACGCAAAGCTTCATTCAACGGCTTAGGATCTATGCACAGACGCGAATCACTGTTCCTTTTCGTAACAATCGCAACTTGGCTAACCCAGTCTGTCGGCTCGTCGACCTTAGCGATTACAACCAATTGCGTCAAGTTACTCAATTCGGTGGCGAACTTATTACCTAATGCAAACGGAACCCTTTTGGCTGGCAGCGCAATCGGTCGTATTGACGGATCTATTGACAAATGAACAGAACCTTCAGATCTCAACAAACCTGTGTTAACCGGACGGCTACTGTTCACTAATTGCTTCACATACGTACACAAAACGGTCATGGTTAAAATGAATAAAGCCAAGATATTGCATGGAATCAATGCCGAGAATCGGCGTGAGCTCTTCCTCCACGACCACGAAATCCAACTGATGTGAAGAGCCGTCTTTGGGATTGATCACTTTGATTGTGGCCAAACCTTTCGGCTGGAGCTTGGAACCGTTCCACATGCGCAGGACTCCCTGATCAGGTCGCACACGAATTCCTGGGCACCGCTTCGCTGGAATTATGTTTATGGTAGCATCCGAGTCCAACTGGAAACGCACCATCTCGTCACCAACCAATAAACTTGCATAGACGCACTTCTTTGGTCCTGTCTGCGACACGTTGCTGATTGAATGTTCAGAGTCGGAGGGCGTTGTGTCACGATTGAGTGCATTCACCTTCGAAGACTGACAACATCGAGCGAAATGATTCCGTCTGCCGCATCTGGCGCAAATTCGGCCCCACGCCGGACATTGATCGCGATCCTTCGGGTGTCGCGCGGCGCAGAATTTGCAAGTTTCGTGTGTCTTGATAACAGGCTTCGCAATTTTATCAGGTAAACTGAATCATGCACATAGCACTGCTTCAGTCGGCAACCGCATTTGCTGGATGTGGTGTGCAGCTGATGATTCAGGGAGGTATATATCAAGACATTGTCTGAGTGATAGATGCCGTTGCCGTAACAGCCGCTTGGTGATGTTTTCATCCTTGATCCTCAGCACGATTCTATCTCGGATGAGACTGTCAGCCAAAGCATTGCAAAAAGTACAGGAAAGAGCCAAAATCTTCAGCTCCGTAACATAGTTCACGATAGTTTCGTTTGGGCGGCGGTTTCGGGTAAACAATATATCGCTGATAGGTCTCGTTAGTCTGGTCTTCGCAGAAATCACCGAATTTTCGGACGACAGTTTCCAGATCAGCTAGCTCCTCGTCCTCTGTGTACTGCATCGTTTCCAATATGCGGCGTGCTTCATCAATCGTATGTCTAAACATCGCCAATCGATACGCTATCGGTTGTTCATTTAGCCGCACCGGCACGCAGAAATCGACCCACTTGCTTTTCCAGATTCTCCAATTATTGGCCAAATTCTGTTCTTCCATGTTTACTGGGGCAAGTGGTTGCACAGCTAGTTGTGCTTCAATCAGCAACTGAACACCATTGGGGGTGATCTTGGCTTGGTTTTTTCTGACACAATGTCGCAAAACTCGGTCCATCAGGGAAAAACGGTTTATTCAGTAAAGCGAGCTCAGCAAAAATGACAGCATGACAAGCATGTAGGAACCTCGATATAAATAAGTAAGTCATTGCCATAACTAACGACGCTGCTGCACTCATGAAATTCTTCCCACGAATCTGTTAAACAAACCTGCTCCAGCGAACCACTGAGCGCGTAGAGGCAATATGCGCAGGCGTCCAATCAACTGGTCTGTTTGTTTGCGGCACGCTTGCCGTTTGCTTGCACAATCCTATCACACAGTGTAAAAGGCAATGACAGATTTGCGCTAAATCTATTATTTTGCTAGTCATACGCTATTTAAATGATATCTCCGTCCTTCTTTCACTTCAAAAGTATCTTAGACTTAAAACACTGCAGCAAACTCCTATTTCAGAGACTTAAAGGCACTTGGCAGTCATGGACTAGTTTAATACACATTTCCCCTCTTGACTCCTATTATGCGGACTTTTGTTACGTGAGCTCACATAACATAATGTGTGTCTGTCACGATTTCCAGATGTGGCAAACTTCCTTCCTACATTTCCTCACTTTTTGTTTATCGCCTGGCGATATTTTATTTTGGTTTACAATCCCACGAAGCCTAACTTCGGCTGTGTTTCACAAGCGTGGCCTCCATCACCTTAAAGTTGATGTGATGTTTCTGGAGTTAATCTGATGAATTTGTGTTAGTGCGGGGATCGCGTTACATCGTATTGTTGTATTTTCACGGTCCAGTCCTTTGCAACATTCACTTGTAGTAGTCATAAGTGGTCCTATTTCATCACATGTTGCCAACTCGCAGGAAGGATCTCTGAGTCTCCTCCTCGAACACGGAATCTCAGCTGTTCCCCCTATTCGTGATCAAGGAACTGGCGCTCGTTGCTTTTTAACATCCTATCCATTTGCGGCTTTCTCGTTTCTATCAGTAGCTGTGACAATGTTGTTTTCAGGGTGTCGAATGATGCCCACTTCCCGAAGAATTGAAGCCCAATGTAAAGATTCCACTGATTTTGCTCTTGGACGTCAATTCTCAGCATCGTTTTTATCCCAATCCTCTTAAGTGACCCATTTTGTGTAACTCTTGACCAGAATATTTTAATACTAAGACAAATCCCTTCACTTTTCACAGCCGAACGCAGCACTTTACTCGCTAAACCAGTTCATTCTTCCGATTATATCTGTCGGTTAGTTGGCTCGACACTAGGCAACGTTTTCCACTGAACTTATTAACGCCTTGCCAGTTATGACACCCGATGGTCAAATACTGATACTATTCACACTTCCGCCACAACTGATATCATTTCGTAGGAAACCTGCATAAATTACTCTTTTTCTCGTTACTCATGGTAATGACTAATTCTTTTCTGCTGGAATTTTAATGTTTGCGAAAGATATGAGACTTCACTGATAACTTCCCGTCTCCTTTGTTTTCCACCCTCAACAGAACGGATGCGGTAATCCAAAAAACATTACGTAGCCAGTTCTCTAGTTGTACCGTCCTAACGGTTGCACACCGTTTGCGGACGGTGATTGACAACGAGGTGATCGTTGTCATGGACGGAGGCCGGATAATCGAAATGGGTGCTCCGCACGCGCTCCTTAATCCACAGCTGGCCGAGAGAGACAAGGAACGCTTTTATGCAGACCAGGAAGGAAAAAGGGACGAATCACCCTTTGAGGAGGTCGACGGTGTGTCTGGTAGTGGACCTTTGGCCCGATTGGTGCGACAGACTGGATTGGAAGAGGCTAAGCTCTTGGCTCAAACGGCCAGAGATGCATACATTAAAATGTTATCTCTTAAACCCCATGAATACCCCTGAATTTACTCCCTCTATCGAGAAGATGCTGTTTTGTGATTTGTCGATTCCATCCTACTTTGTTGTATTCTGGACATATTAGATTCTGTCGGCTGTGATGTGCATTACCGGGTTTTTCGAGTAACTGCATTGTAATATGCATCTCTCATTGAGAGCGGTATCAAATATTCACGTACTATGGATGCTTGACGTGTAGTGCATCCGGTGGCTCGGTTCTGCTCACCGAAGGGGACTTAATCCATATGAAGTCTGTAATTTCTGTGTATGACCACCAGACTAGTCGGAACACGAACCAAGGATTCGGGTGTCATCTAAGAATACTTTGGGTTGTTTATGCTTGCTCGTCTTGCCTGTAAAAACACAGTTCATTCCTGTTCAGTTAAGTAATTGTGGTCGGGGTCCCGAAATGGATCTATTTACCACAATTCGCGTTGCTAGATCAATAACAAATAACGATAATGTGAATATGAGGCAGATATAATGAGAAGGGATATAAAGAAAAGGAGTTGAGAAGTACTATTAACCCGGATGGATTCCTGAAAGTTATATGCAAGTAACCGTATACATGAGCGACATTAACTCCTCAACTGGGGACGCACCAGCCTGACCACGTCTATCGGACCATTTCTTCATTCCATTAGGTCACAGTATTGACCAACCACCGTGCAGTTTCGCCCGATTAGGTACAATGACGGCTTAGAATACACCCTGAGGAAGGTGGTAAACAGGTATCCGGAGGACATCACCTAGGCAACATAGACAGCGAGGCTTTACTAGACCTTCCGGTGAACCACTGGGGAATTTCATGTCAATTTCCAACGAGAATGCACTAGCACTGTTCACCCGGTGTACCCGTTAAATATGAGTAATGATTTGCAAGTGCTGGTGACCAAATGGCCGATCTCTTCATGTCTTCAGGACTAAGTGACGAGATTTTTTCTACATACGATAGTACCGGTCTTATCACAGATTTGTGTATCCTGCCTTTGATTGATAAGTCGCTATCTCACCTTGGACCACCCAATGTTACATCGAGGAACGTACAGGGCATTCGCTTGTTCATCAATCTCGAACTCCACAAGCAACTTGAAGCGAATGTTCTACGAGTGCTGGCTCGAAATGAAACAGTACAGTATGTAGCATCACCATAATCGGTCATCTGTAAGTGTGTCTAAGCTCTAATACTCGATGAACAAGAATAACTATTTACTCAACACAACCCCGACCAAGGTAAAGTCAGCCTAATTTCCAATGATTTGGCTCTCGCGAGGAGCAGTGCGTTGTAGCAAGATGATGCCCGCTGGAGGCATTGAAAATGTGGTTAGCGCCTCGGGCATTTTCACACACACACCGCTTGAACCCAAGCGAACTACGGTCCTTGGCCGTTGTGCCAAACATTGCCCATCGTGACCCGGTAGCCAAAGGGGTAGATGTTTCGGCTACTATTCCAATGGTCTTGGGTTCGGGGTCTACTATCCACCTGATGAGATCGAAGCGCGTTGTGATGTGCAGTGTTTTCGAGCGGGCAATATCCAATTTCCATATGCTTCGACTACAGTCCCAGTGATCGTATTGACCAAGGTTCACTTCAATGTGAATCGTGGTTTATAAGGAGAAGTGTTTTCCGCGTCCATGAACAGCCTGCAATCGTTTATTGTTTCCAGTCTGAAGGCGTAATTGGCCTTCAATTTCCTCAGGTTGCAGATGCAGTCTACCAAGTGAGCTGGGTAAATTCGCGTGCTTTGTTCTCGTCGCTAGGTTTAGCTGATTGATGTTTCATACAGACTCCTGGCCAAGGTAGCCTCATTAAAGTCTATTGATGTGAGCATGGACCAAATTGCTCGTCGAACACTGCGTAATAGTAAACAGGCATATCTTATCGACTATGTGTGAAATTGTGCCTATGATTAAGACAGGCAATATTGTACAGGTGCAATCATTTTTACTCAGAAACAAACCACGTGTGGCCGGATATTTTTGCGGACACCATGTGGCACACATGGACTGTAGTTTGACAAAAAATTAAAAGGGGGTATGTTGACGTTGAAAACATGATTACCGTGTATATGTTGTGCATGCGCAACTTGATCAGTGATGGCGGAGTTATGATGAATTTCAGTGTGACTACAAATCTTGATATTTGAGCAGCGCAGTGCTGCTTTCTGCAATGTTCGTAACATACGTGACAGTGGAGAAAGAGTTGCGCTATACCGCAGTTAGCTTTGAAGTTATGGTGGTCCTTTATAACTCAGCGATACAAGCCGCTTGCTGGTGTCCCAATCCATTGGTGGTCATGAGCTCAGGTCCTGACGAAGCCGAGGGATATGCACTACGAACTAGTCCCGATAGGACGAAACGGCCGTCTGGTGCCTTTCCGGACTTGTGCAGGACTATCTGAATTCCAAGCTATAAGGCGAAGAAGCCTCGATTGTAAAATAACATGTATTCAAAGCAAACCGCTGACTGGATTTACGAATATATATATATATATATATATATATATATATATATATATTAAATGCGATCTGTGGTGCAGATATTTTGCCATCGGAATCATGGCTGAATAGGAAGACAGTATGAATACTAAGAAAGAGCAACAACAACCAATGCTTTTTCTTGTCTAGTTTACCACTCACAGTTTCTGAACTTTTTTCAGTTTGTTTTTTTAAGGGGAGGAAGAAGATACACCGTAACACACCGATGCACACGTCCGCCATTGACATCGATCTGGAGCCATGGCTTCCAAGGTCTTCAGCCAGCAAGTATCCGCATCTCTCGGACCCCAACCAGGTGTCGACAACAACCGGCCGAGGCCAACTGTTTCGTCAGCTTTTTCATGCGGCTTCTCCATGTGGTAGGCTGTCCACCAGACCGTCTCTTCCAACCCTGTCCAGCAACCGCAAACAACGCACGACGCGCATGCGCAATACGTGTCCCAACCACCGCAGTTGATGCAGTGAGATGAGCTCCTCGAGCGAGTGGCTTCCACGTCCCAAGACACGCTGTCTAACTTCCACATTGCTTACCTGGTGCTGCCACCACACACGGGCAATGGACCGCAGACAGCGGTGCTCGAAGACGGATAGCCTGCACAAGTCATCTTTACGAATGGGCCAGGTCTCGCATCCGTACAACAGTACAGCACGATCAGTTGCACAATAGACCCGCCCTTTGATGGAGAGACGAATGTCGTGGCGACGCCACAAGTGCCTCAGCCTAGAAATAGCGAGGCGTGCTCTCGAGATGCGCATCGAAATCTCGTCTCCAACAGCCCCGCCAGCAGTGATGCAACTTCCCAAGTAGACAAAGCTCTCCACAACCCCTAGTGTTTCACCACCAAGACTTAGTGCAGGCAGAGGCACCTGCCACTCTTGGAAGAGAGCCTTGCATTTGGATGGCGAAAAGTATATACCATATTTTGATGCTTCAATCGCCAAGCGGTTTAGTACAAGTTGGACGACATGTGGATCGTCACTCAGCAAGACGATGTCATCAGCATAATCCAAGTCAACAACTCGACTAGCTGGGAGGAGCTCAACGCCAACGTTCAACGAATCGCCCAGACCGTTCTTCAGGACATCCTCAATGGAAAATTTGAATAGGAACGAAGAGATAGGGCATCCTTGTCGAACTCCACTGGAAACCACAAAGGTAGGCGAAAGCATACCATAAGCCCTAACCCTGCCCGAGGTCAGACTATATAGAGCGCGCAGTATGGAGACGAACTTCTCGGGGACACCATTCCTCAGTAGGCAGTGCCACAGTACCGTACGATCGACGGAATCGAAGGCTGCACGGATATCCAAGAACACAGCAATCGTTGGCTTCTGATAAACATGGCGGAGCTCGAGGATCTGGCGGAGTGTCGCAGTGTCCAGGGCACTGCGACGTGGCGGTAGTCACTGCCCCTTGCCCCTCCCTGAGAGGTATTGTACTTCAAGGGTGTGTTAGGATTTACGAATACTGTTAGCAAAGCTCGCTTCTTCAATAGTGAAGACATTTTCCGACAGTTTCTTCATCCCAAGATCAATGCGCAGACTGGATGATATCAGTCCATTTGGTCACGAAACGTCTAAAATTCGGTATGCAAACTCAGCGATCACCTGAATACCTGAGAAACTAATTCGAACTAACAGTATTTCGAATAATCATGAAAATTTAACGCCTGTTCAACCAGAATGTTACCGTGAACGGCACTTTCATCATTATAGAACTGATAACTAAAACAAGTGGGTTTAATTGCAACCTTTTCCAAGCAGACATCCGGCGACACATGGAGCCACGAGCACCTAAAGTCCAACCAATCACCGCTGAAAAGCGCTTAATCTACTTATCACTGTCTTTCAAAGGTGATGTGATAGCAGAACGAACTACTCGAAGGCTCTGCAATGCAACAGCGAGAACGTACTTTGCAGCTGACCTCCGCGTCAGCTTCACTTCTACGCCAGTCGTGAGTCAGCATCCCAAGGACAGATTGCCGAGGTCGAATATTTCCTTCTGTGTGTATCATTTTTCTTGCTCGTGTCGAGCAAGTTATATTGGAAAGACGACCAGGAGATTGTCTGAGAGAATGCGAGAACATTGCCCGGCGTGGCTCTACACTGGTGTCAGAAAGACAGTAGTCAGCGCGGTGCTGGAGCATTTGACCGACAAAAATCACCAAGTGAATGTGCGAGAGGCCTTCCGGCCTATCTACAGGATATCTGGACGCCACACGCGAGCCCTCCGATGTCGCCTATTGACGACAGCGGAAGCAATCGCTATTCGGCTCTATAATCCCGAATTGTGTGCCCAAAAGAAATTTGTACTTGCTCTACAGCTGCCATGACCTCAAGCTTCCTCATGTTACGACACCACGCCTGACCCTTCCACTAACGATGCCCAAGCTAGTGTGGTCACTTGATCGCATTAACCGGTCAATTCACTTCATTGATACATTGTATTTAAATACCCTGTGTTTGATTTATTCCTATCATCTGTGGTGTGTTGGCCTGATGTGATCCACCGAAAACAAGCTTGTTCGCCTGTCTTTTGATTCTAAGAAGAAAAAGTAGATTGCAAGAGAAAACAGCTGTGAGGGTACAAGAGTCTCACAGCTAGCGCA